ACCAGCCCTTTATCTGTAGTGTCATTTGCAAATATCTTCTCCCATTCTGTGGGTTGCCTCTGTGTTTTGTTGACTGTTTCCTTTGCTGTGCAGAAGCTTTTTTATCTTGATGAAGTCCCAAAAGTTCATTTTCTCTTTTGTAGAATAAAATCTTTAAAAAAAAATTGCCTCATCTTATCTCATTTATTTCCTTTTGTTCCTGAAATGCAATTTCTACCCTTCTTCAGTTCCGTAAGAGCTGGAATCTTCATGTTCTAGCATTGTACCCTTAATGAAATTCCTTCTACCCCTTTTCTTAAATGCAGTACACATCCTTTCCCCCAGGCCATCACGGAGGGCACGGGCAAAGTAAAGCCATTCTGCCATTGTGGTAAGAGCCATGTGATCTCTTCCTAAGGCACTGCATTGCTCTGAAAGATCAATGTCCCTCCATTGGCAATTTCTGATAACGTGGTTAGTTTAACCAAACACAATTTGAAAAAGAAAAATGTGAGAACAACTGCATCCTTCCAAGTTCTCCTTCATTTTCCTGCCCTCTGATGTTTCGTAGGCTTTTTCATGTCCTACCTCATCGCTGGCTGAGTGAGAAAGCCAAGAAAAGCTGGCCCCGAGTCGTGTAGTAAGAAAGGCTGGGTTAGTCAGGGTCTCCTGGTCGTGAGTGATAGAAACGCAACTTGAGCTAGCTCAAGTGAAAATGGTGTGGGGGGGAGGGTTGGGGCATTTTAGCCAAAGGAGGTGAGAAAACTTCTGGGCCAAAAAACAAGAGATGCCTGCCTTAGAGGTCAAAAGCAAGTGGTTCCTTCTCATGCCTGCCCTCACCGGTGCAGTTATGAGGATGATGGTAATGAAGCTGGAGGAAGAGGTTCTTGCTGTTTGGGAGAGGTGTCTGGGCTGAGGGCTTGAGAGTGGTTAACTGGGAAAATGACTGTCCTCTTGCCCAGTGGTATGGGGCTCTATCTTGGACCCCCCTGCTTGGCAAAAAGGACAAGCTTTCAAAGAGCCGCTTACACAGGCTGTACCTGCTTCCTCACCAACCCACTGCCCGAGAGGTTCCAGCCACTCCTCAGACCTGCCTTCCCTTGGAAACTGTGTGGCTCGGCTACTGCCAACCTCCATGTTGCCCAGTCTAATGGACTCTGGTCTTTCTGTTGCTCTATCAGACACACTTGACCACCTCTTCCTTCTTGAAGCATCCTTCCCTTGGCATCGAGGACACCCCACGGTCTCTGTTCTGCTCCTGCTGCACTGACCCATCTGTCATTCTCTCCTGCTGGCTTCTCTCCTCCTTTTTTCCCTCGATGTTGGGCTCTGTCAAAGTTTGTTCTGGATCCCCTTCCAGTCTCTTCCTGGGCTTTCTCTTTAAGTAATTTCATTTACTAACATTTCCACATAGATGGCTCCTTGGCATCTCAAACTTAATAGATAAGACAGGCCTACAGAACCCTTGATGCAACCCCCTCAGTCCACATCTGGCTTTCTCCCACTCCACAGTACGAAGCATCTGCCATCACCCACCTGATTACTAATGCCCCCCGAGTTACTGGGGACCATCCTCGACCCCTCGCATTTCCGTTCTTCTCTATCCAACCTAATAGCAAGTCCTGTTGGCTGTCCTTCAAACAGATCTGCTATGAGCCTTTCTCCCTCTGGTCTCCACCGCAACCATCTGGGTCAAGGCTACTGTCATGTTTGTTGTGGTTAATCATGTGGCCTCCTAACTGGTCTCACTACTTCCTCTTTAGCCTCTTTCAACGAGTTTTCCACGGAGTATTCTTTGAAAGGCAAATTATGTCACTTCGCTACTTAAACTCCTTCAGTGATGGTCCACTGACCCGAAGATAAAGGTCAATATCATCTCCAAAATCCCCAGGTGCTGCTTCTTTTATCTCCTCTTAAGTTTATGACCTCATCCATGCCTGTTTCTTGCTCTCTCACTCTGCCCCAGGCACACAGGCCATCCTTAAATTCTTAGAATGCACAAAGCTCTTTCCTGCCCCAAGGCCTTTGCACTCACTTTTCCCTCTGCCTGGACCACTTTCCTCTATTGCCTGTTCATTGTCATCTTTGAGCTGTGACTCAGCCAAAATGTTACCTCCTCAGAAAGACTTTTGCTGATCACCCTATTCTCTGCTCTAGCACTCAGTTGTTTCCCTTCATGTACAAATCATCATTTGCAATTATTTGTTCATTTAATTGTTTATTGCAGCTCGCATTAGACCATAAGCATCACAAGGACAGGAATAATAACATCTGTCACTTATCCTTAATGCCTAGCGGAACACCAGGCAGATCATATGTGCTCAAGGAATGGTTTTTGCATGGGTGCATAAAAATTACATGAATGATAACTAACAGTATGTCATTGAGGGCTCTAGCTTTGACTACTGAACTATAGATACTTTTGCTGGTGGAGCTTTTGTGGAAAATATTTAAATAATCTGGAATTGGGATCATGCGTTGTCTTAAGATAAACTCAGAGAATTCCATGCTGGATTAATTTTCAAGTACAACAAAGCTACATTTCTGTAGAAGACAGTAGAGCAGAAACATTTCTATGGGAAGACTCTTACTCCAGTTACAAAAGTTTCTAGTAAGTAGGATATATGTGGAGTACCTTTGAAATTAATATGGAAACTGAATTAGATCCTCTACAGGCAACAAAGGGATAAGGGTAAAGATAAAACCGAGATCCTCTTTGGGGGAATAAAAGTACGACTTTGCTGTCAGCAAAACCTTTCAGTTGCTGACTGCTATTCTCCCCCCAAAGCCCAAAAAGTTATTTTCAAAGAATCCTCGGAGTTATCAAACAGGGAACAAGATTATTTGAAGGTGCATAGCTATCTTCTGATAATTTCTTAGACTAGCGTAAGTTGAAAATGAGCTTTCCCAGTAGCTACAAAAATTTCAACAAAAATATGTTCACCATTAAACAGTGACATCATTAGACCATTTTGTTTCTTAAGATTGAGATCTGAAAAGAAAGATCAATTATTGATAATTAAATGTTCTTCCTTTTATGCAGTTTTTGCTTGTTTTCCAAACACTTCAATGTTCATTGAGGTTGCCTAATAATTTAATGTTTGAATAATAAAACAACAATTATAAATGCTTTTCTTGCTACTTGTAATACGTTTATAATTTCTCTGATGTGTATGATATAAAATATTTGTTTTCACTGATATTTTTGCTTAATCAATTTTGCAGTCATAAAAATATCAGTGTTAATGCCGGGGCGCCTGAGTGGCTCAGTTGGTTAAGCGTCTGTCTTCAGCTCAGGTCATGACCTTGGCGTTCTGGGATGGAGCCCTGTGTAAGGCTGTCTGCTCAGTGGGGAGTCTGCTTCTCCCTCTGCCTTTGCCCCTCCCCCTGCTCGTGCACTCGCCTGCTCTCTCTCTCTCTCTCAAATAAATAAAATCTTTTAAAAATTATCAGTGTTAATGCCAATACTTGATTATAAATCTAAAGCGATATTGACAACATTGCCCACATTGTTGTTTTGTTTCAGTTCTGCGATCACTATTCTTGCCTGGCCCCAGCACCCAACAGAAGTGAGAAGGGGAGACTGGCCAGCCACTGGGCACCCTGTTTATTTAATGGTGCTTCACGCTGATTGGAAAGTTTGACCTTGATCAGGTTAGTTGATGAAGGTGTTCATAGCTCACCTGCTCTGATCTTGACCGGGGTGGTATGTCTGATCCAAACCGAGGTCATGTGGCTTTTCATCCAGAGGAAGAGGCTAGACCGTCATGCAACATGTGGCAGGTGTCTTAATCACTGCATTACCCTATGGTGTGGTGGCATTGGGACTCTGCTAGGGCTTAGAGAGGTTGAGTAGTTCCCCCCAAGATCCCCCAGCTACTGAGTGTAGGAACCAGGAGCTGAGCCCCTGCTAGTCTGACACCAAAGCCTTTTCGGCTCTGTCTCCCTAGCTCATGGCAGGAACCACCAAAAATTGTGCTTTTGCAAGAACACAGTGCCAGCCTTTCTAAGAGAAAAGGAATAAGGGTCAAAATGGTTTGGTGTTGTGCTAGAACTGTGATGGAACTTCAGAGCCAAGTCCGGGGCTGCCAAGGGTGAAGAGTGATCGCAACAACGGAACTGCTGCCATTAGGAGGCACCCTCCCGTCTGCAGCTTGCTCTTAGCCCAGTATAAAATGGAGAAGGGTCTGCTCTTTCTCACGCTTGCCTCCAAGGATAGTTAACCCACTGGGTGGAGGGAGGGAGAACCTCATCTATGGGAACATCCACGGAGGCTTTCCTCAAGTTCAAATTCCCATAAAATTTTAATGGCAAATGTTCCCGTTATTAAGTTGGGTCATAAGTCGTCGTCCTGCTCTTACTGCTGACAGTACCCCTGTCACTGCTACCAATGGTGAAGGTTTTCAGATGCCTGACTCAATATCTTTGAGCGCAGCTTCGTAGTAGATTCACGGTCTGTCGAGAACATGGTGGCGCTTCGGAGAGCGCTCTGATACGGGAGCGTGCATGACAAGTGAAAATGAAAGCTTTCATTGCTTACAGCGCTCGGCACCACAGAAGTCACTTTTTCATTGGTACTCTAAATATTTAAAATAATTAAATCTAAATGATCACTGTATTTAGTTAAAGTTGTGTATTCTAACTACAACCTGGTAGGAACTTAGTACCGACTTGCTCTAGGACATGCTGTACATGGCTTGCCTCAAATTGATTTTTTAATAAAACTCATAGATGTGTTTGAATCGGCACCCATTCTTTCAGGTTCCTGTGTTGGCTTTTGTTGTAGGCTTCCAATAAAAGCTAGTCGCTGCTCAATTGAATGGGTAGAATGTGCAAATAATAATTAACAAAACATTCATGACTCCTGAAAGTAAAAACCCTTTGGAAATAGAATAAAAACAATAGTATGCACTGAAAGTGTTGTAAAACGCAGTTAAATCTCTTCAAGGTGATGGTAAATCAGAGGGACTGTCACTCAATGTCTGAAATAAATGATATCAGCCTTTCTCTACCTAGGAGTTGATTTTAATGCAAAACAATTCGGCTCCACACCAAGTTACAATAAAATGCAAATGGTCATCAGGCCCTGTACCTTTCCAAGATCGTAGCTAAAGACTAAAGAAGTGGAGTCCCACCAGGCCTTACTGGCAACAGTCAATCAACATTTTAGGGAATTAAGCACCAATAAACCTGAAATCAATTTGGGTTTGTGTGTAAATTATACGTGTTGAAAAGAAGTAGCATTGCTCTATGGGAGGTTTGGTTTTTTGTTTTTTATCATTGAAACCATGACATTAAGGAATATGGCTCTGCTGAATTCTTAAAGGGAGGACTTTGGTTATTTTTGCATTTGTCAAAGGCGTGACAGTTTATTCGAGCTGATAAAACCGTTCCTGTTCCCTTACAAGTTTAAAGAAACCAGACTATATAAACTACCAACTAGACCCAAAGAGCTACTTTTTTTTAAATGAAGGCTTTCCTAGCAAACACTGGAAACAATGTAAAAATATATCAATAAGGAAAAATGTTAAAATACAAAATATCTCAGAGACATATAATTAAGTAAAAAAACGTGCAGAATAATATATATAATACCCTAAGATTTATAATAAAGAATCTTCTAGATGCATACTCACAGACTCCAAACTGTAACAAGGGCTCCACGGGTAGAGGAAATGGCAGTGGGGCACAAAGGGGAGGGATTCGTGTATTATTTTGAAGTCAGATAGATGTTAAGAAGCAAGCAAAACCAAGTGCAAACAAACAAGCCAACAAGAAGCCTGAGGATCCTAAACTAGTGACAGTATGTGGTGGTTCGCTTCTGCTGCCCCAACAAAATGGCACAGCCCAAGGCTTGAACAACAGAAACTTGGTTTCTCACAGTTCTGGAGGCTGGGAGTCCGAGAATGGGGTTGCAGGCAGGCTTGGTTTCTCCTGAGGCCTCTCTCCTTGGCGGCATTTCTTCCCTTTGTCTTCCCATGGCCTTTTCTCTGTGGGGGTGCTCATCCCCGGGGCTCCCCCTGTATGTGCTAATCTCCTCTTATGAGAACACCAGTCCTGTGGGACCAGGGCCCACCCCGTAGGCTGCCTCGTCGCTTGAATCCCCTCTCTGAAAGTCCTATCTGTCTGCAGTCACGTCCTGGGGTCCTAGGGGACTAGTCCGTTGAGGACTTCAACGGACGAATTTGGCGGGGGACACCATTCAGCCCGTACCACAAGATGTTCATTTTATTTTATTTATTTTATGGGAATTCAGGCTGCTTCTATCAAACGCCACACAATTTTAACAAACCCCACGAGGACAGCAATTCCTCATGAACATTTGAACGCTGATTACAGCCTTACTTCAAGACATTTCCTAAACAATTTAAATCAAAATTGTACCCTTACCGTGACTGATTATTTGAAACTTCCAGTATTTTCATTTTAAATCCCAGCCCAGACTGAGGGTGTTCCACAAGCCTACTGGCTTCGACAACGACAATGTAGTTTTACACTATAGAGAGGCCAAAAGATACGCCAAAGAGGACTTTAAAAATGTGTCCGGCGGGGCGCCTGGGTGGCTCAGTCCTTAAACGTCTGCTTTCGGCTCAGGTCATGACCCCAGAGTCCTGGGATCGAGCCTTGCTTCGGGCTCCTTGCTCAGCTCCCTGCTTCTCCCTCTCCCTCTGCCTGCCTGCCTGCCTGTCTGCCTACTTGTGATCTCTCTCTCGCTCTCTCTCTCTCTGTGCGTCAAATAAATAAATAAAATCTTTAAAAATAAAAAAATTTTAAAAAAATATGTCCTGCTAAACAAAATCTCAGATACTCCAGTCCCCCTCAGCTTCACTAACATGCAACTTAGGGGGCCCCTAGGTCAGAACGACCGGTGTCCTTATAAAAAGGGAAGATTTGGACCCAGACATGCAGACAGGGAGAGCCCCACGTGACCGTGAGGACCGCTCTGGGGGTGATGCTTCTAAAAGCCCCGGAGCGTCGAAGATGGGCAGCGAAGGCCAGAAGTTGGGAGGGAGGCGTGGAATAAATCCTCCCTCATCACCTCAGAAGGAAGATGCCCAGCCATGCCTTGATCTTGGACTTCTGGCCCCTAGAACTGGGAGACAATCCGCTTGTGTGTGTAAGGCACCCAGTCTGTGGTACTTTCTGGCGGCTCTGGGAAACTGCTACAGTGTATTATCAATAAATAGAGTGAAAAAGAGCCCTACGGAAAGTGTCCTCAGGCAGCAGGCATCCCCGGGACGCGCTGTTTTCCGTCCTCTAGGTATCTGTTGCATGTGATTCTCTTCAGTGGCTTGTCCCCTGGTGGCTGTCTCTCCTCCTGACAAGATGGCATGGGCTCGTGCATGACGGGAAGAAGGCCCGTTTCTGGTGCCGCCCAGAGCGCCTCATTGTACCTCTGGTGAATCAAACGTTTGTGTTTGAGTGCTGCTGAAGTTGTCATTCGCTTCAAGTCATGCCTACCCCAAAAGAAGGCTTCGAATGAGAAGACACGAGCTTTACACCTCACACTTAGCAGCGCAAACTTATTTGCAGGCACGGATTTTCAAAGAGCACAGCATATGTTCAGAAGGCTCTGGGGCCTTCTGGCTCTCACGCTTGTTTATCAGCTCAGAGACCATTCTGGACGCTTTGCAGCCACAGCTACATTTCTTACTTGGGAGCTGGCCTTTCCCCATAGCAGTTTTGGGGAACTGAGATAGAGACCCGATTTGCGTTTGTGGCTCATGCACTCACCCCATGCGGTTGAGGGCTAGGTTCTGAATGTTCTATTGCCTAAATGTCAGGCGTCCCAGCAGCTACGGGTCAAGCACCATGAAGTCCCAGTTTTAGGGGTGATTTTTTTGTTCATGACGGATGCCTCGCCGGTACCTGCAAATGCACCCATGAGCAAAACATAGCTAGGGTGGGTTCATTTAAAAAGGAGAAAAGAAAGGGAATTCACATCTTTTGAGCACCTACCAGGGGTGGGTTCCTGTGCAGACGTTAGCTCATTGAACCTTGACAAAGATAAAACCCACTTGGAGACTAGGGATTATATGTCTATTTTCACATGGAGAAGTTGATATTTAGAGAAGTTAAATTGCGTGCCCACATTCATTTGGCTCGTTTATGGTAAGCCGGGGATTCAAAAACCACATCTGTCCGACGGTGGGGCCTGTGCACTTTCCACATCACCGACACGGTTACATAAAGGCCGGGCGGCCGTGCAGACAAGCAGTAGAAAAGCAGGCTAGAAATCGTTGCTGTAAATGGGTATAAAACAGAGCTGAGAGTTTCCAGGCAACCAACCAACAGATTGCTGGGCTCTCATCTGATAAATAGGTCAAAGCAATTGATCAAGAAGAAAGAGACTTTCTGAGAAATTCACTCAACGATCTTTTGTAATTGTGGCACCAATATAATTATGTCCGACATCTCCCACTGCTCAGGAACTGTCTGATCTCCCTCCCTTGGATAGTGGGGGCCAAGACGGAGTGGGTGCAGATGTGGGAGGTGACCAGGGAGTGGGGGCAGTGCGGGGAGGTGGGTGGCAAGCACTGGAAGCAGGGTGCCGCGGAGATGCCAGGCCAAAGTCAGAATGTGTGTGTGTGTGTGTGTGCGTGCGTGCGCGCAAACGTGCAAACGAAGGAACCAGTGCTTGGGAAGTTCAAAGCAGATGAAAATAGGGCAAATCTGGAGTCATCCCTGACCCAAAGGCAATCTGCTTATGTGTTTTATTTATTTTAAGCAGCCGCTTTGGGGTACATGTATAAAGACATACAAATGAACAGTCATAAACATTTTCCAACTGGCCACTGTTTACATCATGTTGCACCAGTCTAGTTCTAGGAAGCCATTCCTGTGGGGGGCTCGAGTCATGGGATGCCACTCTTGGATGTAGAGCCATCAAAGGACAGCTGGGGCAAATGGGTATAAAAGCAGCTACGCATTTGTGGGGTTCCCGTGCCCGTGGACAGCCTGCTGAACACGTGTGCCCCAGGCTCCCAGGTTAGTCCTCTGTGGGAGCCCGTCCTCCCGGTGACCACAGAGCCTCTGCGGTGCCCGGGAATCGGAACAGCAGGGCCGTTGACAGTGTCACACTGGCCTCGTGGCTCTCCAGGTCAGTCACCCCCGGCCCACTCGGGGACGCTCCTCAGCACTGACCTTCACAGAGCCATGGTGGCCAGAGCCCTGTTGTCTGGGCCTGGTCGCCCGTCTCCTGTGGAGCACGTACTGAGAGCTTGTCCGGGACCCTCACCGGCCAGGCGTCCCTGTGGCCTTCGGAGCTGGGCAGAGAAGCTGGGTAATTGGACACATGCGCACTGCTCACTTTGTCCAGAACACAGTGACCGCCCCGGGGAGAGATGGCCTTGTTAAGAAAGAGGTCTGTTCCTCATCACTCGGTGCCTGGTTCTGCCAGCAGCAGGGGTTTCTTCCCAGCAATTCAAATAAACAATCCACATGTGCACAGCCGGCCCTGGGGGAAAGGTGTCAGGAAATCAAGATGCCATAGAATTTGAAATAAAATGTGTTTAAAAGCAGCTTGGCTCTCTTGACTTGGGAAGTGGCCTTTCTGCGAGGTTTAGAGTCTTAACAACTTTGGGCTCTGCTCACTCGGTCTGGCCTCCGTTTCATGGCAGAGGAAAGTGAGGGCTAGTTTTTCTGGGATCACAACTGGAACAGAAGAGCCGAGACCGCGACCTGCTCTGTAGGTGGGGTGCTCCCTTGTCCAGTGAAGAGGACCAGTGTGGACCACAGCGTGGGGAGGGGGGCAAAAGCTTCAGGGGA